TGCTACCTTACAATATACCTGGCATAACGTGGGCAGCCAACACTGGTCTTGCCCGTTTCTCTGCTAGGTCTGGTATGGTGGTTGTGGAAGCCTAGTTCTAAATGAGGTAAAGGCTCATATTCACCTAGCTGTATGTTGATGCACATACTACACTTGGGACTTAGAGATACACAGAAAGGACATTTACAAGTAGTATCATGCCTCAGTTTCCTGCTTTTTGCTGCTTGGGTCACAGCCTTTTTTATAGAGTAATGTAAATGCATATAGACATCTGCTGTCAGCTGAAATAGATTCTTCCCAGCTGCATGCAACTTGTGAGCAAAACCTCAGCTTTGACTAGGTGATAAACCTACCTTGAGGTTTGCATTCTATGCTTGTTTTATCTTCATATGTGAGAACTGCTGACAGACTGAAGGCTAAAGGAGTAACATTAAAGCAGTTTCAACTAGAAGCCTATTAGTTGGTTTGGAGAAATGTGGAATTTGTAAGTCGAAGAAACCCAAACTGGGTAATAAGATGCATTCAGAGACCTGTAGCATTTGGAAAGAGGGAAAAGGTCTTGGTTTGCAGGGACCTGGTGCTGTACCCAATGCTCAAGAGAGGTAACGAGTCAAAGGTGGGTAGAGTGGTATGGGCAGAGTGCTAAAGCAAGTGGCAGGGGAAGTTGCTAGTTAGGGAGAATGGATTTTGTCTAAAGTTTTTATAACTGACTGGCATGTGGTGGTGGTGTACACATCAGGTTGGAGGCAATAAAGGGGGCTTCCCGCTCTGGAGGAAGTCAGTGGGAGGTTGGTGGCTGGACGTGACACTGACCACAGACACTTCCAGCATGGAGGAGCTGGTGCAGTGACAGGAGAGGTCAGCCCTGCTCTGGGAGAAGAGGGGGAGTAAGGGCAAAGGGACAGAAACTGAAAGCAAAGTTTAGCAGGGAGAGCATCTGGGTAGTCTTGCCCCAGGAGGCAGTGCGTGCCCCAGCTGCTGTAGGGGAGCAGGGAGTCAGGGTGAGTTTAAGGGAGTTAGGCATGTTCTTCCTGCAGGGATACAGCACCCGTGCTGCGGCTCAGCGGGGCAGGGAGCAATTCCATCTGCTTTAAACCGTGTTCAGCCACGCTGCTGGATGCAAAAGTGTACTTTAAAAGCCTTGCTAATAAAAACTATATTTAGTTTATGTACTGTGTGCATCTCATTCCTGTGAGCAGTGTGAACAAAGCTAATACATAATGTAAAAAAGCAATAAACCCTCAAACAGTCTGTCACAGGAAAATGCAAGAAACAAGATCTGAAGATAAGTTTCTGTTTAGATGTATTTTTAGGTGATGAGCAACTTTTTTTTTTTTTTTTTTTTTTCAAAAAGGTGGGGACACTTGCAGACTGTGGTTTGAAGCAGATAAGCTGAACTTTAGATATCATATCTGAGTTACTGAACTTTTAACCTTCTAAAGAAAGTGAACACCAGAGAAGCACTCTCAGAAAACTGGTGAACTGAATGTTGAAACCACACAGCACAAGCCCCACAGAATAAAAATGGAGTATGCAGTGAAAAGTTCTGAACTGCAAAAAGCAAATGTGATTGCCCTTGCTCATGCTCACAGCTTTTCCTTTACCTGTAAAACTCTTTACTTCAATCCATGAGTTTTCCCACTTTTACCCTTCTAATTCTCTTCTTTCCCCATCCTGCCAGGGAAGGAGCAAGTGAGCAGCTGCACGAGGCTGAGCTGCCTGCTGGGGTTAGCCCACAACAGCATGTTTCATAAAATGAAAGAAACATCAGATCCAGTTAATGTAAGACTTCCAGGGTAATGTAAATGCTGATGTAGTTTATTGGATATTTGGTCTCCCAAGGCTTGGATCATGTAATCATGTCCTTTATCATCTACCACAGAAACTTCCATAACAGAAGGCCTAAACCAGTAAGCCAACCAGCATGTTTCCTCTAATGTCTGGAGCTGAAAACCATGACAAAATTATTCTAAAATGAATGGAAAGTTTCAGTACTATGAATAGGATTTGTTACATGGATTTGGAATTAGACTTACGGTGATGGGTAAGAAGGGGCAGAGGTTTAGATGTCTAAGCTGTTGTTTCCAATACAAGCACAGCTTCAGGTTGAAACAGCAAAATCGGGGTCACTGATCTACAGGCTTCTCATCAACTCAAGAGCAGATACAACTGAATTAGAAACCAAACCATCCCCTATTAGACACTAGGCAACTCAAGCTGGACCCAAAATAGGAACACTCACTGGGTGTATCTTTAGCCATGTGCTGATCCAAACTTTTTCTTAGCACTACTGTGGAAATCCCCACAATGTCTCTCACAGGCAGCTGTGCTTTCAAGAGGGGAGGGCCACAAACAAATCTGAAGATGTCTTCTCTATCAGCACTTCCTACATCTCAAAACAAAATCTATGAAGAAATCTTTATGGTTGTAGGTGGTCTTCCAGATGAGTCCATCAGTCCTAGGACACTAACTAAAAAAAGTATCACAGCTGCTAAATTACACCAGGGAACTGGATTTGAAGAATCTTAAGTCATATAACCTGGCCAGAAGAGTGGCCTCTGATGTACCACCACAGCTGCTTGAACCCAAACAGCCTGTAGTCTGAGCAGTAAAGGTCTCAGCCTTTACTTTCTCATACAAGGAACCAGTACTTTGTAACGTTTGAGATTTTCTAAGGTGAAATAAGTTCTGTTTTTACAGATTAAAAGGAACCTTTCTGAAGTATCTTGTCTGTTGATACTCTGCTGTCCAAACGATTTGCTTTAATTTAGTAACAACTAAAGAAGTCACCCCTCAGCAGTCTACAGGAGCTGCCCCATTGGACCAGTGAGTCTTCAACAGTAAAAGTTGTAGATTCTCACTGTACCAGCAGAAAAACACACCCAAGGGTGCAACAAACAGCAGTCAGTAGACCTCCAGCAAGTATTTGAACCACTGAAGAAGTCTTTTTAAATGTATTTTGTGGACAAGATTTGATATGCCCTAATGCAAGTTACAATATCAAAACACTCACAGTTATTGATGGACTCAGAGGTACTGGCCTTGCACTTTGTGTATCACTTTGGACATCTCTGACCAAGAGCTAAAGAACATGCCAAGACAGACCTGAGGAAACACCAGTTTTTGAAGAACAAACATTTTCTTGACTGTGCAACTGTGATGACTTCAGCAGATCTGCTGTCTTAATATACACAGATCTCAAGATCCTGTTCTTAAAATCTGATAAACAAAACAGCTCATCTTGCTTGCACGTTTCAGCTCTCACCAGCACAATAGTTTTGTTAATGAGTACTTAAATTTGACATCAACCAGATTACTTCCTCACGTGAAGAAGAAGATCCTACCATCCTGCCTCTTGAAACAGGATGCAGTGGACCTACTGTCCATCTTCATCTGTATGTGATGGCTTCATACAGCTGAGCAAAAAGTCTGGGAGGTTTTTCTCACTCTGCTTCCAGGGGAATCCCTCAGTTTCTAAATTATCAGATGATGAAGGTGAGCTCTTCTAATCCAAGAATGAGAAGCTGTTCTGTAAATGTCACTGTTGATATAGATGACAGAATTATTTGGAAGGGCAGATTTTTACACAGTGACTACAGTGACTGCAAAAAGGCACGAGAGGAAGAAGTGGGTCAAACCATTTAAGATATCCATGAAAATATGCTGAAGAAGTTAACCTCCTTTCCTGCCTTTCAGAGGAAAGCTCCTTGGTTTCTCTTGGCCTTAATCTTTGTAACTGTACATTTGTCCACTATGCACTTTGTACATTATTCCAAATAGCAAGGGGATCCATCCGGCTTCTTTGCCACTACATATAGAGCTTTCAAATTTTTACTTCTTTATTTTCTAGGGAAACTCCCCCCACCACACACCCCTTCTGGTTGTTCTGCCTTTCTTTTTTTTGTCTCACTTATTTTGGAGGTGGGTTCCTCCCCCAACTCCTTGCCTCCCAGAAATGATCTAAATCGATCTTCTCTCCCTCTAACCCGAGTCTCATTACAAACAAAGCCAATCACAGCGTATAGACATCAATATATCAGAATTTACACTTCTGAGGAATGTACATTAGCTCTCATTTAACACTACAGGAAAATACACAGACTCTCATAATCTGATGGTACTCATCATGCAGCTTTTGGGCTCTCTATATACATCTTTTGTTGTCAAACAGCCAAACACAGCTCTCTTCTGTTTGTCAAGGAAAAGAAACATGCAGAGAAAAAAAATTCACTTGCCTCTCTCTCCCTGCTCAAGAAACCCAAATTCAAATGCGTGTTGCTGCTACAAAAGTTCTTGGCATCTTTCTCTGAGTTTATAAGAGTTTTTGTAGTTTAACCGTAGGCTGTTTGAACAAAGACTGAAGATTTGAAGACATAACAGGGCAAAAATAACTGAATTTTAGAAATTAAGCATTTGTTTCAAATCTGCCATCACACAAAACTGCAAGCTGGTAAAGATAATTTGATGTCACCAACTTCAAAAATAGGGAATGGCTTGACCTTAGCGATATTAAATACTTCTTTTTTACTCAGACACAAATTTAAAGTTTGGCCTAACTTATCAATAGTCTTCCAAAACCTCCACCTCAAGACAAAATTGACAGTATACAAAAGTCTAATTAACAAAGCCTTTCTGAAGAGAAAAAAGCCTGATGCGAATTTACTTTTCTTCCAAAACAGTACTCCTAAGCAAACATTAGAAATGAACAGCCTAAAATGAAATCCTAAGTATCTATGGTATTTTACTGAGTGTTTCTCTGAAGCAAGTAAAGTTAAGGTCTTGAAAACATGCAATCCATAAATCCATAAAAAATCATGTAATCCAAGCAGTGAAAGAAACTTTTCTTTTTCTTTAATAAAAGCAAGACTTAAAACCAAGTCTTACAGTAATAGAAAAGTCAATTGGTCATACGTAGGTATATATTGCCCAGTCTAACCAGCAAGCCTAAGGAGCAGAAAGCAGATTGTTGCTGGAGAATCACTGTAAATTCAGGTCACAAATTATCTTCTCCTTTTCACGTTAGGATCATATCTGCAACAAAAACGGAAATTTGTCACAAATAAGTAAAACTTAATGATATTCAACGTGAACATGATGGAAATAGCTTTATTATATAAACATACAGGTTATTGGCCAGTGTTCAGTCCTTTCCCTGGATGCACTTTTGTAATTAACTACAGTTGCTACAATTTCACTGAAGGATGCATAGACTAGAACCTGTGCATGAACTAAAGATAATCTTTACTTAAATTTTCACTGACTTCCAAGCTATTTAAAAGTCTTTAAATCTGATTCACGAACAAGTTTCTGCAAGTCTTTAATATGCTAACATTAAATTCCTCAAGCAAAAAAAAAAAAAAAAAAACAAAACCAAAATCACACAACCAAAAGGGAAGGGAGAGGAAAGGGGTACTGTGTATTGACAGCAATGTACATTTGTCCACAACTTACACAGCCAAAAACCCTTCTGCTGCTTCCTGCTCCTCCATAAAGCAGTTCCTTGTCTAATCTTCCCCTCTAAATAGCTCCTGATTTATTTGTAATAATTTAGATCCGCTTTCTGGGTCTACTAAATAGTTACCCAATTTACTGCAATATGCTTAGTTTGCCTCTGCTTGACACTGCTGTCCCTTGGCCTTCTCTTTCTCTCCATTTATGCTCCATCTTCCAAAATCCTGTGTCACTTCTTTGAAAATCTGGTATGTTATGTGTTCATGCATGACTAGCTTATGGACACAACTGAATGATAAGCCAGCTTTACTTGCACTAATTCTGCCCTCATTCATCAAGACATTTTTTGCTTAGACAGGAAAATGTAATTTGGCTCACAAGTTGTCACATCACCACATAATTAGAAGGGTATTAGAAGTCACTGTTGTCTCTATACAACGCAGACTTCTGGCAAAAATGAAATGTGTGCCCTTTGAAAGAAATGTTCCATTATTAACTGTTAATTAACAGAGCAAGCTGTTAATGCAGTAAGATTTTCTGAATGGCTCTTATGCTGATATGCAATTTCATGTTTCTTTGACAGTGATTTGGCAAAAGCAAACGTCTTCACCATATACATTTTTCTGCTTAAATGCACAATGTTTATTGTTAGTTAAATGCATTGCAGGTGAGAAGTTAAATGGTGGTTGCTTGTTTCTTCAAATAAAAGCTAAGAAAATAATGAAATCTTTGCTAAACAAAAGTCTCACGGCATTTCTTTGAACTTATTGCTATAGCATTGCAGCACATTAGTTCTGACACTTAAGTATGTCCTGGAATCATATTTTGGGAAGGACAGAGAGGGGGAAAAGATAAGCAAAATAGGAGAAGGGATCACATGTGATGGAAACCTCCCATCAGGACAGCAACAGCTTCAACCTTGTCTGTGACTGTCTATGGAGATGGTAACCCTGACAGTCATGAACATCTTTTTATGTCATCTCCCCCACCTCACCGCCACAGAAAGAAACCAAGCAACATTATCAATGGAAACTCTACAGTGCCTGTGGCTTGAAATGGAAAAAGAGACGAGGGAGATTCCACTACTGTGAGCGAATACACGAAGAAACAAAAGCCCTTGCTGGGAACAAGGAGTGAGGGATACAAAGAGCTATTACTGAACATAATCCATTTATCTGTAGTCTCAGCAGACAGTATGACACATCCTCCCTCCCTCCTGTATCTGAGTGTACCCTCAGTAGCAGCTGAGGCCTGGGCTTTTCCTTCCAGCTTATCTTTACCTTGGATCACTGTGTAACTCTTTCTGAAGGCATCTTCAAATGCCCATTTTTTCCCAGCTGTTAATATTAGCATTACACCAAGTAGCTTTACTCAGGATTAAGGACAAAATTAGAAGTAGGTTACATTAAATTGTGTGTTTTAATAGTTTTGACTGTGGAAAGTTCTTGAAGATCTAGCCTAAATAATTTGGAGTTGAGGTAAAAATTTTTCTAAGCATGAATGCATGTAAAATATCTAAGTTTCCACTGCTGTGTTTTGAAAGGCTAAAATTAATAAAGGTTATTTTGAAACAGTTAATATTCCAGCACATCATTCAAGCTGCACCATGTTTTAGTAAATGTCTTCATAACTGACATATATTTAAAGGCTGTATTGCAGGTGTAAAATGTGGATAAAGTGGCAAGCCTGACTTAGAACTTTGTAATTTGAAAGTGGTTATATATCATTAAATTAGGATTACAGTTGAAAGTAACTGGACAGGAAATCAAATTAATCAAGAGAGATTAGGGAAAGTGGTTGACAACTGAAGTGAAAGTCATTGAAAGAAAACTGCTGAACAGAATGTGTTTAGAGGCACAGGGAAGGAGCTATGGCAAAAAGCAATGGCAAGCAGCTAAGGTGAACCTGGACCTACCAAAGAGACATCTCAAACTCCTGTGCCATAAGCACCAATTAGGAGAGAAGTAAATGATTCTACTACACTGTAGTAGACTGGTGTGAACACGCCTCCTCTCTGTAGTCTGAGAAGTGGCAAGATGGTAAAGCATTGAGGGAGTTTCTAACAACAACAACAAAAGCTAGGAGCTCTTTCATTGGGAATGGTTTTGAAAGCAGCTTAAGGTCTCAAAGGTAAGAGAGACAGATGAGATGTAATAAGGGATTTACCTAGGTTTTTAAAAAAATTTTGTTTTAAACTCTGGAAATCATTACTTCAAAGGTTAAAAAAGAGAGAAGAAGCAGTCCTGCCAACCACTTTTTCACAGAACTAGTATTTTGTTGCTTGAGCTCCCTCAAGTGACTCAGTACAGGGACAGACAAGTGCCATGGCCAGAATGCAAAAGCAACAGACCCCCTCACTCTTTCGTTATAGTTAGATAACTGACTTAAAATTAAGACCAAAACACTTCAGGTTCTAGCAAATGCTAGTGGTGGAAAGCCTGATCCCAGAATCTCTTCCAGCCTTTGTGGACAATTGAACTTGGGCATATGAGCCAAGAAATTGCAACATTTACATTGGAGAATGTTCTTATTAAGAAACTGCAGCAAGTCTGAATAAAATTGGAAGTTTGAGGCATAAAAAAAATTTGAGAGAAGTTGTCGAATCATTTTAGGTATATTCCATACAAGGGAATACATGGAATTTTGAAAATAAAGTAGTCTTTTACAAAAGTAGAATTTGTCCAAAGAAAGATGTGATGCAAAAAATATACATTTTCTAAGTTCAAACATAAAAGTCTTACCTAAAGAGATCATCAGCAAGTGATTCTTCTCTTGCATGTCGGTTCTGTTCCTACAAAAAGAAGTTTATTCAGTCCTTGATGCTAAGGATGAAGCTAATGAACAATATAGTCCTGCACTAACACAGTTTTTCCTGAAGAAATAACTTCTCCAAGTACTTCATTCAGTGCATATTCACATCAGGCAACAGACTTCACTACTCAAGTTTGGCTATTGCTACCGATGAATCGAATGGACTAGTTTGTGCAAGATACCCATTTTGGTGAGAAATATGCTTTTTGATTTTTTAAGCATCATTACAGAATAGAGAAACTTTTATCTGATTATTAGGACATAAAGGGAATTTTAATTGATGTTATCTATACCCAGGGATTTTTAAAAAAGGAGATAATCAAAAAGTGTTGATATGAGATCTCAGTCTGTGGTAACAGAATATGACTGAGCAGCAAGTATTTTTAAAGAAACTACTGGAAAAAGACTACTAGAGAACTACTATGATAAAATGCAATATTTTTTAAAACTTCTATATACAAAGATGATTTTTTTACAACAGAAAAATACTACATTTATTCTTACTATATCTCTACAGTATACTCCAACACAATTTTACTCCAGTATGTTCTGTTCTATTCATGAGTAGAATATCAGCTGCCCTATATATCAATTCCAACACAGCTAACTGTATAGAATGTCTTCCTAGCTCCCTGCCATATTTTCAGAAATTACAAGTTTCCATAACGCTTTTTTTTGCATATTAAAAAAAGACTCATTCTCAATAGGTTATTGATTTTACATTAAATCAGTATTTCTGATTGAATGTTGTATGTAAAAAGAATTTTAATAATCAGAAAAAGATAAGCCTTACCACTGACCTTTGATTTTCAGTGACTTTTCTAGTGTGTGTGTTCCTATGAGCATGTGTGTTCAGCTGACTGGCTGAAGTTTTATTTCAAATAAAATTCTGAATTACTTCACGAATGACCACGAGTTGGCGTGGCCAGCACAAGTTAAGCTTTCGTTTGATCACCTTTAAGAAATAATTCCTTACCTCTATTTCTTGCCTTAGCCAGTCTTCTAGCTCTGAATTCTTTTTAGCACGGTGAGCAATCAAGTCTGATCCTCCAATAACGTATGGAAGCTGTCCTGCCCCTGGATAAGCCACCTGTCGGACAGCAGGTTGTCACTGTTACAATACAAGGCAAGCACACTGCAAGTAAAAGGTCTGTTTCACCAAATTCAGGAAGTCTATTCAGCTACCCCAGACAAAAGTCAGTCAGTCTTCCTTTGAATAACATTTAATCAGAGATCATATTTAAAAGACTGGAGTAAAAAAAAGCATTTACAGAAAGCTATTAGCTCCCTCCATTTTACCAAAAGGAACAACAACAAAAAAGCAGCTCACAAGTTACACATGCTAAATAAATCTGACACTAAGTGGAATTTGAAAACATGATAAAATAGAATATATCAGTAAAAATAACTTTATAATCAGAATGCTTCAGGATCTACTACAAAATGGTGGAAAATACTTGCAGAGATTTAAAGTGTTAAGTAAAAATGACAGCATACTCCCAGAAAGGTGGAACTTGCATTATGTGGCTTGCACTCTCTACACAGTATTTTACTGAAATGTATTCCTAGTAATCTCATACCATACATACATCTTTTTAAAATTTTTAATATTACCTGAAACAACTTAAAGAGTAGAAGTATCTAAACAATCTAGCACAAGGTAAGCTTTTGTCAGCCTGGTATTTCTTCTGTCAATTAGCAAAACATTTGATAACAGTATAATATGGTATTTAAACTGTTTCCTTCTGTAGTTACTATCAAAAAAAACCCAGACAATTCTCATAATATATTTCTACAATCTTAAAGCAGTACTTTAGTAGTTTTAAATAGTGCCATCTTGTGACCATTTCAATTACACACTAACCTTTTTGAACGTTTTGAAATTTTTCTTTCCCCCATAGCTGGTACTTCCAACAAGCTGAGTGTTCTGCCTGGAATGGCTGACAACCAACGATCTAAACTCAGTCAGCAGAAGTCTGCTAGGAAGGTTCCTGGAGTCATCTTGCAGTTCAGTGTGCTTCTTATGTGGGAAGAAAAAGGAAGGAGTGCTTCAGGTGTATGAGCAGACATACAGCATATCCAAGAGTACAAATTTTAGAGAAAAAAATTTTCATAAGCAGAGCTGAGGCAAACGTTGAGATTACAAAAGGGTGAGGGGAAGCAGCAGCAGTGCCAGAAGCCAGCAAGGTAGATGTACTTTGCAGCTTCCTTATATACTACCAAGATAGCTGGGAGCTCAGTGAATTTATTCCTCTCATATTTACATCTTTTGGAAAGACACTATCATTAACAGCTGCAGTATTAATAATGAAGTCAGTGTACCTCATTTCACTAAGATTTTACTTAAAGTTTCAAGTAAGATTTTTTTTTTTTCATTTTAGCTAATATCCAAGAATTACTTCTCTCCTCCTCTCTACCTTGTCTCTTACCCAGACTAATTTAATCCAGTATACTTCCTCTACTGGAGACTCCAGCTAGCTGCACGGAAGACAAGGCTGAATGTCTTCAGCTTGATTCTAGCTTGTGGATTTATCATTTAGGCCAACATTAAGGATTTTTAACTAACTGGATCTGACCAATGAAGCAACTTGCTCTTGTACATGGCAATTCTCGTGTGCCAGCCAGTTTGCATGCACACTTTGCTGCTTGGGGCTAGACCCAGGTTAATTAAAAAGGAAGTCTGGGTGCAGGACAAGTTCATAAGCAACTTTAAACTACCGTCAGGGACAACATCAGCCCAGGTTCAGTGCAGTTGTTTCATAGCCAAGTATAAACTAAAGTCCCTTAATCTGAGCTGACTTCAGTGTACCTGCACAGCACTCCTCCTGGACTGTTTCCTGTACTATGTGAAAAGGTTTTAACCTGCCCCTTGTTGACTGGATACATTCTCCTTTGTCTCTTCAGGATCTGCCCATTCCAGTTCCATTTAGCCTACTCTCCTTTGCCTCTGCCTCACTGCCACTCCCAGCAATTCTCTCCTCCCTGCATTCAGCTCACCTAAAACAAAGTTAGCAAGCTATTTACTGTTAGCACTGTATGTTACATCTACTTTCTCAGTGCTCCACCTCTTCTATTCTCATTGTGATCTCCTTAGAGCAGACAGGGAGATTATGTCCTTGCTTAGTCTTTAAGTAGTAACCCAGCAAAAACATCAGCACAAGTATTAATTGTGTTGACAGGCTAATGCAATTCCATGAGGTTTCTGTAGTTTTAGTCTTCTTAGATATCCATCCAAATGCTACTGCAAAAGCATGCAGATGAACTACAGCTCGCTCACTCTGTCTTCTCACAGTAAGTTGGACTGTACTATTGAAATTTATATGGGATTATTTTAAGAAGTACAACCTTCAGAACGTCCTTTACTCTGAAATAGCATCCACAGATAAAATGGTCTTAAAAGCAAAACTTTGATGCATTTTTCTTAATGCTTCTCAAAGTTTGCTATTCAAACTTAAAATTACATGTTTTCTTACCAAGACTGGTGACTCTTGCTTGATCTCACTTTTCATTTCTGAAGTTAGAACTGATCCAAGTTCCTCTTCTTTCTATTTGATTAAAAATCAATATTTAAAAATATTTGACAGGAAAGAAACTGCACTATAATTTAAATTTTTATGATTTTATGTACACTAACAATTGGTGAGTTTTTTACCTTTTAATTTTTTTCCTCACATTTGTTGTGTTTTTTCTTCTACCTGTAGCAAGTTTTGTCCACATATGCAATCTTCATAGTCCTGCCACTTTCTAGAAACTAAACACCTCTGAATATAAGAAGTAGCACTTTCCTAAGCTAGTAATAAAACACACACACGTACACTTAACATACTAAATTGAAAGTATTCTGCAGATTGCTTTCCTCCTATAGCTTAAAACCAGATTTGCCTTTTATAAAAATTTTCAGCTGTTAAAAAAAAAAAAAACTGAAAAATCTGATCAGCCTTATGCACCCTGTAGATTTTTGAGCCAATTACTCAAATTCTCTTCCTTGCCAGATAGACTAGGTGCATCTGTACTTCAAGCAAATAGGTAACATGACTATGTCAGTGGACGTTTATCATAAAATCTCCTTCCTGTTCTTCTGGAAATACAACTTATCTTAATAAAATAGGTCACTATTAAACTATTAGAAGACTTCTTGTCGGCAAAAATTGTTAAGTGTGCATCTGATAAAATAATATTTTAGTTATACACAAGAATTTGTTTTGCTTCATAATCCTAACAGTAGGTTAAACTAAAAAAATTTCCCAGGCCATCACAAAATTCAAGACTGTTCCAAGCAGCCATTTTAGTCTCTCAGTACAGTCAGTCCTGATAAAAATACCTCCTCTCGGATAATATAGAGAGCGAAAAAGGATTCCCTACAACTGTAAGACTTGTCTTTTTAAATTTGCTTGTTAATAACACAAAAAAAAAAAACCCAAACCAACATTACAAGTAAATTACAAATTTACAACTTGACAGAAGCAGGCTCTAGTAAAATATCAAAAGCAGAAAACCAGTTAAATTGGTCTGAGCCAAAGATTTGAAGTATATTACAAATTCCAGTTTCTCAATCTTTACATTGAATTTTATTATTACAGCATTGAAATACTTCCTACACTGTATAAGAACTACAGTTTTAATATATATAATTAAAATAAACAAAAATTAAACTACTCCTTCTTTCTTACTCCCTTCTTAATTGCTAATAGCCTACTTTCCTAGAGCTCTCAACATTGTTTTCCTCTACAAAAAACATTCTTTTTTTTTAAGCCAACAATATGCAACATAAGTTTTTTTTGGACTACAGATATATTCTGCTGTTCTACCTACTTCAAGTAAAAAGAGAGGAAAAATTTTATGAATACAGTTGCTTTCAATTCACATAGAAACAATGTCCTGAAGAATAAAAAACCATTTAGATTTAACACTTCAATGTTTCACAGCTAAGAGATACATCATGTCAATCTTTAGTTCAGAATGATTTCAGGTTTTATAAAAAAAAAAAAAAAAAACCTTTACAAAGCCACTTTCTGTAAGCAGGCAGCCTCACCCTTAAAGGAGGTACCTGCATCTCTAACACAGCTGTAAATGGCAAGATTACACACATGCGAAGAATACAGCTTACCGATAGTTTATTCTCCTCTCTCTGCTTTACATTTACTTCCTGAGTCCTGCTTCCTTTGGCTTCCAAACGTCTTTTTTTGTGCGTATTTCCTTGAGCCTGTTGGCCATCATCTGCCATTTGATCATCCCAGTCTAAGTCTCCTCTTCCAAACACAATCTCTAGTGTTTCCCTATCTTCAGACAAATCATCTAACTCCTTCCTCTTCCCTGGTGCATGGTTTTCACTAGAAGTAGTTTTAGTGCTTGTTCTATCACTTGCTAGTTTGCCACTTTCGCCCATAAGCCTTCTACCTCTGTCTTCTAATGCAAAATTCAGGTTTGGGTTCAGGACGTCATTTTCCTTTTGATGCTGTTCTGGTTCACTGTTACACACTGATGAAGCTCTGGGTTCAATCCTCTTGGAAGCAGGTGACAATCGTTCCTCCAGTTTTGCTAGTTTGGGTACAGACATTTCTTTTCCCTTAGGCAGAAAGTAATTACAAAAGAAGGGAATTACAAAATCACTTCTGAGTACGACTGGCTGCCACCCACAATTTAACAGTTTCCTGGGGCTGCAGCAACTGCCTTGACCAAAACGTGAACGTAAGCAGCCTTGAAGCAAAGCTTGCTGTTCTAGGGAGCTGATCTGAAAATTATCGTTTTAACTGTGTTTTGACTCAAACGTACATCCCTTGAGTTAAAATTGTTTTGCAGGAACAGCACCAACATAACAATAAAGGAAAGGAAGTTATGTCAAGAACATTCCAACATACCTTTTTCTAGCTACCTGGAAGTAGTTTGTGATTGAGTTAGACTGGTGACGTGAAGCACACTCACTAGGTTTACCAGCCTCTGAAATTTTCGATGGGGAGACAGGATGAGCTTTTTGACTAAACCCAGAAGTTCTGTTCAGTCTAGATATTGATGCTCCTGCGTTTATGCTGCCACTTGTGCTAAGGTTTTTCTTTACAGCAGTTGTCTCCTGGAGAGCCATTTTCCCTTGTCCATCCATCTGGGGAGTATTCTCTATTTCCATACTACATTAGAGGGAAAAAATATTAAGTGAACACACAAGAAGTTACCAAAGAGATACACTGTAGAATACCACTGCTTATAAAAGCTGTACCTGTAATCTGAACATACTTTTAAACAACCTAGGTGTGCTAGAAACAAATTGTAAAAACTGCTGTGATAATATATTTGTGTAACTGTGAAATGGCTTTAAAATTTGCAGTAGTTTTCTGCTTTTGAGTGGTAAGTAGGAAAATATAGGACACAGGACCTATGTGACTCAAATATTAATAGAGATACTGCATCTGATTTTACTGTCGTAACTACCTCACCACAGACAAGGAATTTAAGAAGTGCCATTTCTAACACTGTAAATCTTTGCCCACAGCAATGATGTGGTTCCTGTGCCACAAAAGATTGCTTTATTTGCAATATCAGCTTAGAAACTATGTCCATCAATACCTTACCATGTCTGCTCTTCTATTTCTGTATCAGGAACATATGCTGTGGTGTTATGAGCAGCAGTTGGCATTATGGTTTCATCCACAGCCAAACTCTGAGAAATGGCTCTCCCCACAGCAGCTGATGCAGGAGTACTCACAGTCCCAGCTGCAACAGCAGCACAAGAGAAGTAGTAAACTTTTAATATCAAACCTGAGGTTTTTTTGCATGTGTTATCATACATTGGTAACTGATCAGGTGAGATTTTTGTAAAATGGTCTTAAGGCAATTTGAATCAATAAAGCTGCTTAATATTTGGATTAAAAAAAAAAAAACAAACAAAACTGAAAGAAACAGTTCTACAGGATGATATTCAGGGTTTCAGTCTTAAATGTTCCACTGAATTAAGTCATGGAATTTTGCTTCAATAAAAAGCTTAATGGGAAGTCATGTATCAATATGGACATAATGTAATTAATAAATCATGCAATATATATTTCCTGCCAAACAGTCAGTGTGCAAAATTTCTTACATTTACTGCTTTATTATGGTCTCTAAAACCTGATTACTGTATTTGGGATTATTTCTACTAATACAGAACAAGTATTTCCTATCAAAAAAAAAACCCTAGAGTAGATATATTCTACAGCAAATTATCATAATTCCCATCATCACAGCATTGCCTTAAAATGTCATTTACTGCTCTCTTTAGTTACTCACAATATTTCTCCATAAAACAGAAAAAAAGAGCATATACAACATCTTATTATATTGCCCTTTCACATGTCTTTGTTGTCATACACTTATGTCTTCTCCAAGTCAAAGGATGCTGACATTTATTATTTAATATATTGTGCTTCTAGAAACATTTTTTAAAATTACTCATCATCTTTCACCTCTTCACATTCTTCCTGTATCTCATGCTGATTGACTATGGCAGCACTATCCTTTCAGATAATCTATTTTTAAGACTTTAATTTTTAAAGGACCTTTCCTTTAAAGATCAGTGTACTATGTGTCCACTATTCATGCTGATTTTAGATCTGCAACTTCTTTATTTACATGTGAGTATCATATCCTTTTCATTGCAGTTTACTGCAAGACCTTCAAAAACCAATCACCTCATCAGACTTGTATACGTTTTTCATACAGTTTCATTCTATTGTAGTGGTCTTGCAAAGCAAAAGAACTTGAACTTTAGCACTTGATGTCCCTATCCAAAAAGAAATCGTCTCTCTTCAATGCTTTTAACCTATTACTACTCTTCTTCAAATTACCTTTGTTACTAGGCTGCTTTTGAGGATTGCAGTACTTTTCCGTAGACATGAAGATAACTGCCAATCCAATTTCTGCCTCAGGAATAGCCCTGAGATGCTTGCTGTTAATATACAAAGAAAAGAACGACATTAAAGAAAACTTTCTCAGTACAGATGCAAAAGGGCACAGATATGATAAAATACAGTGTTTCATTCCTTCTTTCAAAACACATCACTCTACACTACAATTTTTCTCAATACATTCAGTCAGCATAATTATCCCTCATTATACGCATGTCCTATACACATGAACTTCCACATTTCCTGCTGCTGTAGCAACTGTCTAGTCCCTGTAATCTGGCCAATGCATCTCTCCCTGCTTCTGTACTAGAGACATGAGAAAAGCTTGAATACAGTTTTCTCTATTTAGCAGGAAAATTCAGGGAAACTAGGTTGATGAATTAGGTTAAGGATTGGGATTTTATTTTCTTTCACTGTTTTAATAAAATGGCTTTATGAAAATCCTAACATCTGTAACACACGCAGCTGCCCTCTCAAACAAAATCTAACACTAAAAAAATCCCTAAAGTTCAAGAAGCAGAAGCTGCTCTTCAGAAACACTGTATGCAAATAATTAGACAGCAATGAACCACATGACTTCAAGGTGCCATCTCAACTATTTTCCATTAAATATATATGTATATTTATTTATAAATCATAGATTATCCATTTCACATTCTTAGAATATATTAATTTTTAACTTCTTTTAAACAGTAGAAGAAAACCACTTGCTGTCTGTAATTTCAAAGCAGCTTCATTACAGTTGCTTGTTGTAGAATTGGAAAAAAAAAAATCCCACCAACTTCTCATAGAATGGACAGGTCCTTTCTCTCACACCTTAAGAAATTTTAGTTACTATGGTAGATACTTAAAGCAATGAAAAAAATGCCATCTTAATAAGCATCCTACTGCTTAAATATGTGCAAACACCACGACTGAATTTCTGCAGAAATTCTGAAATTTCCCTAGCATGGTACAAGAGAACAATGCTGCACCTTTGCAAGACAGTCAGAATGGAATCAGTCCAGTTCATCATGGAGTCAGACCCTGAAATCTGAGAGTTTGTCAAGCCCACATCAACAACACAAACTTGAGGAGAAACTAGTAGAGATGTTTCTTTTCTTCCTTCCGTCACCAGCTTTGCTTCCCCTCCTCCAAGCATAACTGCTGGACCCAGTTTCTTGTGCTAAAAAAGAGAACACAAATTAAAGAAAAACCAAAAATCTTAAAATACAGTCAGTTTAGAAGTGTCAGCATGATGAACTATCAGTGTAATGCTTTCAACTGATGCACTGATGCATATCTGATGAGTTCTATTTCTCCCCCTGTATTTCACCTTGCTTAGGCCATTACGTTGTAAAAATATAAACACACAGAAGCCCTTCTTTCCTGAT